GCAAGTTGGAACTGAATAGAAGAAGCTATGGAACCAAATACTCCTCTGTGCAATTTCTTCAAACGAGTGGAACCGGATACAAGAGATGGAACCGAATACAGGATCATGTGCATTTTCTTCTCACCATTGAAACTTGATACCCCATTTGTGGAACCAAATACACGACCCTGAACAACATGAAACTCTTCTTCAACCGTCGTTGCTTCAACCTTTCTTCATCTTCATCCATCAACCTCTCCTCAACATGAAGCTTCTTTTTTATCATCAATCAACCCGTTCTTCGTCTTCTCATGCACATCCCTCCAACCTACAACAACCATATAAAAATCACAATAATAGATTACCTCCTCAGATGAAATCCTTCATGGTATTTAACAAATAGTAGGGGTACATATGTCATTTCTCAGTAAATCAGCGCAAGTCTCCTCGTGATAGCGAGATGGTTAAAACACTCGAATCTCGCAAATCACGGCATTTCTTCGCTCGTAAATCGGCGCAAGTGAACAACAATTATCCCGCATATCATCGCTCTCTTTTCTTTATAAATAGTGTTTCACCTTTAAGTGAACACAGTGTAAATCATTGATTTAAAGTGAATTTGTGACGATTGAACTTATCGGGTTTGTTAATTAAAGCGGCTTAAAATGTGATTTTAGTTGCATAAATTATTTTGGATAGTCTAATGTTTGTTGATGCAGCTGGAATTAAAGTTTGAATTGCAATTCTGAAAAAAGAATAGGCTAAAGTGCAATTAGAGGAAATTTCTGGATTTCTAAGCATTTTTGAATAAAATAAAAAGGGTTGAAATGTAATTTTGGACAACTTTATTTTAAAAGATAATTTGGAGAAAATATATCTTAAGATATTTTATTTGATATTGTTAAATAATTACCTTATTTAACTATATCAACAAAAATCAAAAGATAATATTTGCCAAATCGTTTTGAATCTAGAAAAGATATTATCAAATATTCTCAAAAACTGATTAAATCTGTTGAATATTTGAAAGATATTAGATATAAGATAAAATATCTTATCAACCGAAGATTTAAAGTCCAAGCCCAATCAAGCCTATATAAAGAGATCCAGGGGAGGCATAACTCATTCATTCTCAGACTCCTCCACTGGAAGCATTCATCCACCATTCCTCTCACTTTTATTTTGCCGTGTATTCTACTCCATCCATGAAGGGCTAAGTTTCTAGGGCTATTCCATTGTAATTTCATTATGGATTCTGAGGTTAAGTTGAATTAATGCAATTTTCTTTTGATTATTGATTTGAGTTGCTATCTTTCTATGTCTTTCATCTCTCAATCATATTAAAAACAATTATTTTTGCATCATAAGGTGTTTGAATCTACATGCATATTAATCATATGAGTCCAAGGGTTTCTAGGTTTGATTGAGAATCTACTTTGATTAAATTTAGAAACTTTCATATGATTAAACGAGTTTTTGCTAGCAATTGAGAATGTACTTTGATTGGTGGCAATAATTTCAACTATAATTAATTGAGAATTTACTTTGATTAATTAGCTTTTAATTTGGTTAGGAGATTTAAGAATATACATGATTAAACACAATAGAATTTGATTGAGAATGTACTTTGGTTGAATTCATTGTGAAATAATCTAGGAAGGTCTTGCATTTGATTGAGAATCTACTTTGGTTAACTACATGATCGCCCTCAAATTAATTAAGAATGTACTTTAATTAATTTGAAACTTGAACAATAATCGATTGAACAATGATTTTTGGATAACCGATGGTGAATCTATCTTGGAAAAGCAGTGGAATTAGCCTATTTCATCATAATTGTTTCTAAGTTTCTTATTTGTTTTTCAAACATTCTTCAAACATCACTTTTATTCTTGAGCATTGCATAACATTCATAAGAGTCAAATATTGAAAAGCAATTCTGTATTCTTTGGGGGACGACTCAGGGTTACTTTAACCCTATCTACTTTCTTGAATACTACTTTGTAATACTGAAGTTGGCTTGAAAAGTAGTATTAATTTGATAGCTTTAACGACAGCGAATCACTCGTCTTAGGCCAAGGTAAAGGCTCACACACAGACTAGGACCTTGTACTATTCTCATGACAAGCCTTACCCCTCTCTACTTTAGAATGAATGACCATTAGAATGTTAGGATGAGCTCCAAAATTGAGCTTCCCATATTCATACTTACAATACATGAAATCACCACTGAGAAGTTCCTCCTTGGAACTCTCTTCCATACTTTCGAAACCATTGAGATTACTTCACATTCACATAGTATGCCAATACATGAGACTACTGATCATACATTAATGAAATCGAAGCACCCTTACAAGTCATCAGAAATCACACAATAAGACAATTTTCTTCATAGCAACTTGATACTCACACTAGGCAAGGAAAACAACTTTCAAACCCTCACCAATAGCTCTGGAAGGGTCCAAAATCCCAAGAACAACCTAATATATGTCCATACCCAGAACCCCGAAAACCCCTAATAATTGGTGTAGTGGGCACCAAGTGGCGCTCGGGCGCCCAAGGTTGGCGCACAATGCTATGGCCACTGGAAACGAGCGCTCAACACTCTGTTTGGGTGTTTAGGTGTTATCAACTAACTCCAACCCTTTTTAAACTATTACACATACTTCTCCCACAACTTTGAAAGGTTCCTAGGACCTTCTAAACACTCTGAAACTTTAGAAAATACATATCTAACTCAATTTGACCACTCTATACCCAAACAACCTCTCTAAACCACCTAAACTCATTTGTACTTCTTTGAACATGTATTTTCTACAACTAACAGCTGGAACAAGTCCTAGTAGACTCCAAACAGACCTTAAACCATCAAATTCAACATAGACCTACTCCTTTAGAGATTCACTACTGAAAACCCTTTAATTGTACTCAAAATCATGCAACACAACCTCACAAAATCTCAACTAAATTAAACACCAGATTTTTACTGGTTTGACAACACTCACAAGTCCTAAATGACTTCAAGACAATCCCCAAACTTTTGTTTTGCACAACCAACCCTTTAAATCAACAACTTACCTATGCAAAGACTTTTCTCTTTCGCTACCTCAAGGTTCTAAAAATTTTCTCCAACTAACTAGAACATCAAATTCACCATTTCAAGCAATCAAGATAAGCACATTCAACAATCAACTTGAGCAAGCTCTTTTAGCATCATACAAAGCATTTTCTAACCAAATTTCCACAAACATACAATGATGCAACATGAACTGAACAAGCCTACTCATTTAGTTCATTAAATCAGTTCATCTCATATTATAAAAAATACTTAAAACTTAAAAATGAAGTATTTAGTTTCCCTTACCTTTTTGGAAATTCCAACTAGTTATAGAGAACTCTACTCTACTTCCTCAGCTCAAAGAGACCAAACAAAACCTACAGACCTTCAAAACATGGTCATGGTATACCATTAGAACAAATGATCATTAAAGAACCTGAGGAAAAGCCCAAACCATACATGCAACAAAAGAAACCGCACATGCATTGAAGCATATGAAACTAGAGAAAAGAGTAGAAAACTAACTTACTCTATTTGTGAAACTGATCGCGTAGATTTGAAGATCTCATCGCGAGGATCACACAAACGGTCTCCGATCTTCAAACAAATGAACAGGGTCGCTTAGAGAGAAGGAAAATGACTCTAGAAAAGGGATTTCTAGAGAGATAATGTGTTTTAAAATAATGAAACTCGTTTATAACAACTCCTTTTATATTAAAACCTTTTATTATTAAAATAATAGAGTCTCATTATTTTTAACTCACTACCACTTCTAAAATACTGTTTTCTAGGTCTTCAAATTCTATCCAACAAGAAAAACTTTCGTCCTAAAAAAATCTCTGTTTAGTAGGTAGAAGGAAAAACCTACTATCCTATTTCTCTCTCACCACCTAATTTAATTCAAGATACAACTCCCCAACAACCTTACTAACATAAAACTTTTCCTATGTGCTAAAATGCTCTAATGTTCAATAATGTAGATTGATCTAGCCATTGCTCTCAAGACAAATTCTTAACCCCTAAACCTCAACTCTTAAGGAACCTTCTTCCACATGACCAACCAAACTGCATCTGCCAAACTGAAAACACCACTCATCAATCTTCCACTACCTCTTGTGATCTCTTCTATAACTTCTGCTAGCCTTGACTCTAGATCAACCCTTGACTTCCTCTTCTTCCTTGTTAGATTCTAAGAAGTCTAGATACTCTAAAGTACTCATTAACACATTTTTCTTGCCTAGTTTGGAAAAAGTAGCTTTTCGCTTTGTCTTTTCAAGGTTAGGACACTCGGACTTGAAGTGGCTTGGATTCTTTCATTCATAACAAACGAGAGGACATTCCTTTCGCTGGTCAATTCTAGAGGTTGACCTAGGGCGTCTGCCTTGAAATGTGTTGCATTCTTTCTTCTCCACAACGAATAAATCTTCCTCGAGATGAACGATAATTCTTCTTCTTCTTCTTCTTCTATGGAGTCTTCCTCACCAATTGAATCTTCTAAGGGTTCTTCTACTTTGACAACTTTTGTGGGAGTCGTTCTAACAGACTTTTGAGCTTTCAATGATATGTTCTTTTCTTTTCTTATTATTCCATCTTGTTGAAGCTCCTTCTCATGAACTTTTAGGATTCCAACAAGCACATCTAAGCTCATCCCATCAAGATTCTTTGAGGTCCTTAGGGCAGTGGCTCGTGGTTTCCATTGTTTGGGGATACTACAAAGATTTTTGTCAATATTATCAAAATTATCATAGGTCTTACCTAGTGATCTTAGTTTGTTTAAGATCGTTTGAAACTAGTTGATTATAGCTTAGATGTTCTCGTTGTCCATCATAGAGAATAATTCGTACTCTCGAGTTAGCAAGCTCAACTTGAGCCTTCATATGTGACAACTAAGGTATCTCAAATCTCTTTGATGTAAGCTTTGATGCCAAGTGAAATAACATGAAAACACTACGGGAGCGAATAG